GTATTTTATTCTTATCATCGATGTTCTTAAATTTCACAGTAATGAATCTAGGTAGGGATCTTTTTTTGGTTTTTGTCTGTTTAGTTTTCTTTGATTTCTGATTCCTTTCAATCTGAGATCCTTCATTTTCTTTAATTTAGGAAAATTTACCTTCATTATCTCTTTCAGTGTATCTTCTCCAATTCTTTTCCCCTATCTATTCTGAACCCATTAAATCTGGATATTAGCATTGTGCTCTTTTCATACCCTCTACATCTCTTATCTTCCCTTGTATGTTTTTTGTATCTTTGTTTTTTCCTGCATCCTCCTGAGAAAGTTCCTCAATCTGATTTTACAAATCTCTAACTTACTCTTTAGCAGTATCCTCCATGCAGTTTTTCCTATTTATTGCATTTTCCCTTCAAATATTTTATTTAGTCAAAGAATAACTCAGGAACCTTTAGTTAATTTGCTTCAGCAATTCAGTCACATGAGGAAGGCAGTCATTACACTATTGTTAAGAAACAAAGGCAAAAACAGGATTTAAAAGACAAAAGAGAGAGGGAAAGGCCACAGTCTGGAAATAGTGCTTGGTGTGCACATATTTGGGGTATACTGGTTAGCCAGCAGCTTGAATCAACCCATAGGGGTATCAAAGAAAACAATTTCGGTAGTTTGTGAATTTTTGGAAAGCCTTGAGAGTTTAACTAGAGAGCGCAGCACCTCCACTTTGTTGAAGCCAGATCTGTACCATTTCTCTCGTCAGAATTTTTTACTTTTCATAACCCATATTTCCACTTTTTAATGATTTTTTTTCTTCATGTTGCTGATATCTTCATTTATCTCCTTAAGTACATTCATCATGCATCTTTGAAATTCTTGAATCATCTGTTCTAATAATTCTAATTCAGTTGGTATGTGTGATTCATTATGTTGTCTGCATTTCATGATCTCTCAGCTCTTCCACAGGTGCCAGGGTATTTTGGCCTATGAGCTCATGTTGCCCATGGGAGTGTCTGCTAATGTGAATTGGGGAAGAGGCATGTGAGTTTAAGAAGGAAGCAAATGAGCCCCCATCACCACAGAATTAGTGCTAATCACTCCTGTTTGTTGTCACTCCATCAGGCAACTCTGTTCAGGGTTGCACCTTTGATCTCTAAGGAAGAAGTAGCTTGAGAGACCATCTCCCCAGTTCATAATCCACCAGCCCTGGGATTTGGAAGAGGAAGGGCAAAGAAGTCGTCTGCAGGCAGCTGGTCAGACTTCCTGTTTTTATAACCGCTCTCCTCAGCCTGGTGCCCTCATGCTTCTGCCTTGATAGAAGTCTTGGGCAGCATGGGGATGTTGCTGCTGGTTTCTGCTTCCCTCCAGGCCTTCTCATGGCTGCTTCTGGTTGCCCACCACCCCAGGCAGAGTTCCATCCTCCCTAGATAAGCACATCTACCTCCCACACCATTTTGAACCCTTCAGACTCCCAAGGAGCCTCTTTTGTTGTTGTTGTTGTAATTCATTTCTCAAATCCATATTTTTTTCTTAATGGCAGAATTTCTCCAGGATTCATGGAAGAGAGAGAGTCAATAAGTTTTGAAGCTACATTCTTATTTCTACAATATTAAGATATATGATATATTAGTTTGCTAGGGCTGCCGTAACAAGTACCCTAGACTGGGTGGCTTAAACAACAGAAACTTACTTTCTCACAATTCTGAATTCAAGATAAGGAGAGATTCAAGATAAAGAAGTCTGCAAGGCTGGTGTCTTTGGAGGCCTTTCTCCTTGGCTTGTACATGGCCATCTTCTCCCTGTGTCTTCACATGGTCTTCCCTCTATAACAATTTGTGTCCAAATTTCCTGTTCTTATAAGGACATCAGTCATATTGGATTAGGGCCCACCCTAATGACCTCATTTTAACTTAATACCTCTATAAAGACCCTTGCCTCCAAATACAGTCACATTTTGAAGTACTGGGGATAAAAACTATGAAAAGGAACATAAATGTATATGTGTGTGTGTGTGTATGTATATGTGTATGTATGTGTGTATATACATATAAAATATATAAATGAATCTCTATGCTGTACACTAGAAATCAATACATTATAAATTGACTTTACTTAAATAAAAAATTAAGTAAGTACTGAGAATTAGGACTTCAACATATGAATTTGAGGCATATGTAGCTCAGCCCATAATGTATGGCATTTACATGAGCTATAATTTCACTTTTTATTTAGATTAGCTCTCCTTTTTTTCAATTGTCTCATACTTTTAAAATTTATTTTTGGAATTGGTATCAAAATAACATTCATACATTGGTGTTAGTGGGTGTGACTCTTAAGCCTCATTTTTTAAAAAATGTTATATTAAAGTATAGCTGATGTACAATATTATATCAGTTATAGGTATACAATATAGTGATTCACAATTTTTAAAGATTATATTCCACTTATGGTTACAAAATATTGGCTATAGTCCCTGTGTTGTACAATATATCTTTATAGCCTATTTTATTCATAATAGTTTGTACCTTTTTTGTATATATATATATATTTTTTATTGAAGTATAGTCAGTTTACAGTGTTGTGTCAAAGTTTGTACCTTTTAATCTCCTACCCCTATATTGCCCTCCTTTCCCTGTCCACATCGGTAACCACTAATTTGTTCTCTGTATCTATGAATCTGTACCTTTTTTTTTATTATATTCGCTAGCTTGTTTTTTTTTTAGATTCCACATGTAAGTGGTATCATACAGTATTTGTCTTTCTCTGTCTGACTTATTTCACTTAGCATAATACCCTCAAAGTCCATCCGTGTTGCAAATGGCAAGATTTCATTGTTTTTTACGATTGAGTAGTATACCATTATATATATGGATATATATATATTTTTCACATCTTTACTATCCATTCATTGTCAGTGGACATTGAGATTGCTTCTGTATCTTGGTAATTGTAAATAATGCTGCTATGAACATTGGAGTGCATATATCTTTTCAAATTAGTGTTTTTGTTTTTTTTCGGATATATACACAGTAGGCTCTTATCAGAGCTCATCCTATGTGACCTTGCAACAGCATCCAACATTGTTGGCCATAATTTATTTACTGAAACATTTTCTTACTTTGGTCTCCATGACAATGAACTTGCCTGGCTTCCTTGCTTTCTCTCTGGCCATTCCATCTCAGTCTCCCTGGTCAGTCCCCACTCTTATAGTTAGTCATTTAGTGCAGGACTTCTTTAAGGGCTGGGTTTTAGACCTTCTTCTCTTGCATTCTTTTCTCAGTGTAGACTTTCTTAGGTGTCCCTATCCATTTCTAGGTTTTCTCATCCATTCCTCTAGCTTTGTTTACCATCTGATTGCCAGTGACTACAAAACATGTACTTCCATCCAAGATCTTAATTCCGAGCACA